AAAAACACTCTTTTCAACTTTTTTTAAGTCAAAAGCTGAAAAACGCTTTTTTTAAGCAAACCCAAACACTCCATAAGGAGGGTGAACATCACCCCCTTTGCTCTATGGTTGCCATGTGGTATTCCATCTCATTTTTCTTTAAAATGTTATAACTTTTTTTATTTATAGTTTAATTTTTATAAATTACATATCAGATTTTTTTAGTTTTTTATGATCTTTCCAATGATATCAATTTTATATATATAAAAATTTGGAAAAAAATCATTTATTTCTAAATATCTATTTTTAAGTAGTTGATTATTTTTTAATTTTTTATATGCAATATTAGTACCATATGAAAAATTATAAAAAAATAAAAATTTTGATATATCTTTTTTTAAAAATGGATTAAAAAAGAAAAAAATAAAACAATTGCCAAATTATAAAGTATCGCTTTGACACATGGCAGAGAAATAGATGTGAGGTGAACATTACCCTCAAAGAGGGTGAACAAAATGGTTCTCCCCTTATTACCCTTTCAACTTTTCAAGTACTCCCTATTAATGATCTTGAGTACTCCCTCCGTCCCTTATTGTTGTTCCAAATTAAAGTGTCACGGTGATTAAGAAAGTGGGAATTGTGTGATGGAGAGTTGTGCAAAGGAGAGAGAAATGCTGTGAACCACAAATTCTTTACCAAAAAGGGAAAGTGAACTTCTTTTTGAGACATCCCAAAAAGGAAAGTTGGAACAACACTTAGGGACAGAGGGAGTATATTTGTTGTCCCTGTTTAGTGTACAGGACATGTCTGGAATCCATTGCTTTTATTACCGTTTCAAGCTTGACTGCCAAAACTTGAGGTTCACAAGACTTGCAGAGCTGCAGAAGGCTGCTAGATAAATCTCAGCCAACTTTTCCTCCCAATGCCTCAAAAAATGTTGAACATTTTGTGCATCTTCCATCTCTTCTTTCTTCATTTCTTCTTCAATGGTAAACAAATTGCTTTCCTCACATTTTATTGATCATTATTGCTTTAGATTTTTCCATAGCATTTCCATTTAGTGTGTTTTTCTGTTTGTTTTTCTGTTTTTTCAGTGGCTGGTCATGAACCAGCAGTGGGAGTGATGACTATTACTATTCAAGATTCAAGTCCGGTGGCTCTACAAGCTTTTTCCGGCACCGGTGTACCTGTAGCAGTTTCCGTTCCGGCGGAAAGCCTCAATGCGGTGTCAAGAAGCGTTCTTGAAGCTGAAAACTGGGTCAGAACCCATGTTCTTGCTCACTATCCGGCCACCAACATCACCGCCATTGTCGCCGGTCACGGTTTCTTCTGCCAGAATCCCAAAGAAGAAGAAAGAGAAGGGCTTTTACCCCTGATTTTACCATCCATGAAGAACATACACTACTCTCTTACCAGGTGGGGTTTGGATGGAGAAATCAAAGTCTCCACTTCTTTCTCCACAAACTGTCTCCACCCATCATCCGAAAACACCTATAGATTCGTCTCGCCGGAGACATTTCATGTTATCCCTGTCCTCGAGTTTCTCCGGCGAGTAGATTCGCCGTACTTAGTGACCCCACTTTCAGACACCCCCATTTCAGAATCAATCAAGCATCTAGGATTCCACAACCTAACCAAGATCCATCTCATCTCTGAGATTAGTCCACAGAAACCCACAACCAGAAAGCTCGCATTCTATCCGTTTGCTCTCCCGCCGCTGGTCGGAAGAGTTAACCCGCCACCTTTTTCTGTTCCGGTTTCCCCATCATATGGGCCACATCTCCCACCCTGCAGCCCGTCTGGGGAAGTTCCAGGCCCAGCTCCGTCGGGTGGGGTTCTTGGTGGGCTTTGGTGCGTGGCAAAGCCCAGTGTGCCAGAGGAGACTCTGAAGGAGGCTCTGGACTATGCTTGTGGAGAAGGAGGGGCAGATTGTGCAGAGATTCAACCTCAGGGAAGGTGCTATAATCCAAACACCATTGTTGCGCATGCTTCTTATGCCTTCAACAGCTATTGGCAGAGGAAGAAGATGACTGGTGGGACTTGTGGGTTTCATGGAACTGCCATGCTCATCAACTCTGATCCAAGTAAGCTTTATTCAAAGATGGAATCTTTTCTTTTATGGGATAATGATTTTGTTGAAAAGGGTCAATGATATCAAGTTTATTCTTTTTGAATAGTTAAAGTAAGATTTGTTTTGGATGAAAGTGAGATAATTTGAGGGTAAGTGTGGAATGATATGCCCTACCTTAAAGTGAGGTGGCTACAGAAAAATGTGCAATAAACACTTTACAAATTACGGAGTACAAGATTCACTACCAGTACAAAAGCAGTTGGGCTGGGAGTTTCCCCAAATTTTATACCCATTAGTGTGGCGAGTCTGGACCGGACTGGCCCGGCCCGCAACAAATGGACCACCTCAAATGTCTACGCCCGACTGGCTGGCTCGGAAAAGTTTTGATTTTTTTTCAGAATAATCAAAACATTTTGGAACACTTTTAAGATACTACGTACATTATAACGATTTAAAAGTAGTTCATAGTTTTATAATGTTATTATGTCTCTCATGTAATACACAAATAATGTTTACACAATAATAATCATAAAAACTACGAAGTACAACAAAGGGAGTGTGTTTTCAATTACTAAATGAACTGATACAAAATGCAGGTTATCGTCATTGCCGGTTCACACTTGCTTAGTAGATTAAGTTGAGATGGAGAGGAAGTGAGAAGAAGTTGCTTGGTTGCCACTATGTTTTTGCACTCCCGTAGTCATGTATGCCATTTGGGACATTCTATCATATATTCATATGTATGAGAATGTACTCACTCTTATTATAATTTTCCATATTTATTGCATATTTGCTAAAGTTCAAGTGACACCACATTGCATATTTGCATCAAGCAATGCTAGGTTTCCTCTATAGCAGAACCCAAAATCTTCTTTTATCTATAAGAAAAGGTTATGAACTTGTCAAGCCTTTTTGCTAGAATTTGAAGACTTCAAATTAGGGCTGTTAACGAACCGAGCTTTTATCGAACTATTCGAGTTCGAGCTCGGTTTCGAGCCTAACGAGCCGAGCTTAACGAGCTTTCGAACTCGAACCCGAGCTGGGTTTTAAGTTCAAAAAATTAATCCAGCCGAGCTTGAACATAGTAGTATTCGGCTTGGTTCGAACTCGAGCCTATCGAACACCCTGAAATTATAAATATGATTTATATATAATCAAAAGTTAAATATAATTAGTTAGATTTTATGAATTTAAATATGTTTATTAACGAACCGAATACTTGTCGAATCATTCGAGCACGAGCCTATTAACGAGCATCAACTAAAATTTTAAATTCGATCATATTTATCGAGCTTAACGAGCACTCGGTTCTAACATTGAACGCCTATCGAGCCGAACACGAGCCTCATTTGTAAAGCTCGCCGAGCTTCGAGCTCGAACCCAAACACTATTAATTCCTTATCGAGCCGAACTCGAGCTTTCGGTGTTCGGGCTCGGCTCGGCTCGTTAACAGCCCTACTTCAAATGGGTCATTCATTTATTGTGGCGAATTTAACGGTACAATAAGTAAAGAGTAACCAAAGGCGACGTCCTAATTAATACTAGTTCAACTAATCCTATATCATCCACTCCATCCAGTGCTAGGATTGGTAGGATAAGGCTCAATTTATAATTTGTTTTTTATGCTTACAAATAAAATACTAGTACTACTAACATTATAACCTTCTCCTAAAAATATGCATGAATTACTGATCGAATTTATCACTTCTTCAAGCCTAAAAAAATAGGTTATGTACTACAATGAGTAAAATCATGTTTAGGAGTTTGAAAAAAAGGTATTGTAGACTTGTAGTATCATACTATGAATCTATGACCAGGCAAGCTAAAAGGACAAAATCTCATTTCTAATAAAACGATCAAAGAACGTACAAATAGTTTGGTGATCCATTTCAAGATAATATTGCAAGAGAAAGAAGTATAAAACTGAAATATTCTATTGATCAAAACTTGCCCTATTACATATAAAACACAGTTATCTTCCAAAAATCGTTTGACTGCCTTCCCGATTAACTTTTTTGCTGAAATTTGGTATGGATGTACTAGACTTGATGAAGAACATGCTCAAAAAAATTCATCGAAAAATTCCACCGGGAAGGCCCTCAAAACATGGAGGCCTATATATATATATATATATATATATATATATATATATATATATATATATATATATATATATATATATATATATATATATATATATATATATATATATATAGGGGAAAGATCAAGTACAAAGTGTGTTTATTGTGCAAATGTTTGTACGATGCACCTTGACGTTATTTGTATTGCATATTGAGGTTCAAAGTGTTGCATAGTATATAGTCATAAAATAGCAGTTGCACATTAACGTTCAACGAGTTGCACCCTAGAAAAGTTAGGTTTTATTACAAAAATGCCACCTTGCCTTTATATCCTTTAGATAAACTCATCGGATGGTCAAGATAAGTTTGTACTTTGTAAATTAAGCATGGTTTGTATTTGATCTATATATATATATATATATATATATATATATATAGGGGAAAGATCAAGTACAAAGTGTGCTTATTGTGCAAATATTTGTACGATGCACCTTGACGTTATTTGCATTGCATATAGAGGTTCAAAGTATTGCACATTATAAAGTCATAAAAATAACAGTTGCACATTAAGGTGCAACGAGTTGCACCCTAAAAAGTTGGGTTTTATTACAAAAATGCCACCTTGCCTTTATGTCCTTTGGATCAACTCATCGGACGGTCAAGATGAGTTTGTACTTTGTAAATTAAGAAGGCTTTGTATTTGATCTCTATTCTATATATATATATATATATATATATATATATATATATATATATATATATATATATAGATTAATATAGATTAGAGATCAAATGCAAACCCTTCTTAATATGCTAACCTACTAACTTAATCCCAACCCTCTATTTCAGATTGATCAACCGTGTCTTACATTTTTATTAGAATAATCAATTGAGGGCTTATTAGTCTTTTAGGTTTATTTTATATTTGAAAATAAAATTACGGTTCCTCACATAACTAATCTCATCCGATTATTTCCTTTCATGAACGTTCGATTAGGCTTCTCTCCGGGATTTCATCAAAGCTTGATTTCATAGCCATTTTCATCAAATCTTGATTTCATGGCGATGGCTGGAATCCATGTCTCCATCTTCATCTCTAATTGCGTCTCCATATATTCCTCAATCAACCACTTATGTCATTCCATCAAAGCTTTATTTCATCGACATTTTCATCGATCAACATTTTGCGCCCTTGGTCGAACTACTTCTTTACCAACCGTAAGTTTATAATCAAACTCAATTCTCAGCTATGTTCATCTTAAATTTCAATTCATCTCCATCTCTATCGCAAGCCACTATTTCTATTTTTCAACCCAATACAATTCGATCGCAATAGGTCTATTATTAATTGAAGACTAGATTCAGGTATGATATTATAGGCGTTTCCATAATCTCTTCATTGTATTAAACTTTTTGTGTTCATTTTTAATTTTGATAACACAAAGTAATTTTTAGTATTCATCGTTGTGCTCCTATGTTAAGTATTATCCATCTCTCCAAAATTCATTCTAAGAATTTGTAGTTTTTTACTCTCTGAATGTTGTTTTTAATTTAATTTATAGATTTCAATGTTGTAAAATTTGAAAGCAAACAGTGTATTACCGAATTTGTTGTTAACTAGGTTATTTTTGGGTTATATGAAACATGAATGTATTTTTGATACAATATGCATCATTTATAGGTGCACTATGCATTCATTAAGTATTATGTAATAGTTAATTAGATACAGAGTATATATGTCTTTTGTGTTGTTAGTTAACTTGTTTCACTTCCAACTGGTTATTACTTGAGTCAAAGATCATCACTAATATAGGTCTGCTATTAATTAAGCTTGTGTGTCATCTTTCATGTACTATATGTCTAGAGTATATCATTTTTTAAATTTGATTCAAATAAGTTTGTTTCAATCATCTACTTTGAGATGATTATCTGCTTCTTCTTTGATTTTTAAGCTTGACATTTACCTGCATCTTACACCACTATGTTTAATTTGCATGTTTGAACTGAATTGTATGCACTTGTCTACTTAGTTGATGCATAACTTATTGTCCTTGTAATATTCGCAGGCACAATGTATGGTTTTGTACTTTTCACGAGATAAAAGAAAATGTTCTCTTAGAAGAATCAAGTCTTTAGAGGTTGTGGCTGTTGAAGAATCAAAATGTCCTAAGAGCTTCTATAGACTGTGCAATGAGTTGTCTGGTCATGATAGCTTCATTAGTTTGAATTGTCCTTTGAACAAATAGAAATTCATAACGTCAGTACTATATTAATGTACTTGTTTTTTTGCTGCATTTTTATTTCCTATGTAACGATATGTACATTGTAAACATGTTGATGTTGCCTATTTTTAATGTACCATTTGAATTTTTTATTTCTGGCTTGGACTTTATGTTGTTTTGATACTTGTGTATTGATAATGTCTGCGTGAGTTTGATTATGTAACATTTTAGGGGTCTGTCTCTTGCTGTTATTTTTTCCAGTTGGTTTTTAGGCGGATTGAGCAATGATTTGCTAGCTGTCCGCTTTTGGATGTATGTTTGAACAGGGATATGCCCTGATGATTTGTACTTAAATATTTTGGACGATCGAGTTAATATGTACATTTTACCCGTAAACATGTTGATGTAGTCAATCCATCTATTCATTGTATGAGATGTGTGTGTATTATATGTGCTTACAAATTTCCTATTTATTTGAGTATAGTATGCACTTCTCATCCAATTTTACTTCATTAATATTAGATACATTTATATGCATAATTCGTTCCCCTGTTGAAAAAATAAACGTTGACTAAATGATAAGTTGTTTTATACAATATTGTCAACCAATTTACATTATAATGTGCACTCATCTTTACACTTAAATGCAACATTAAATTCATTGATATGCATAATACTCCGTATGTTTCTGTACTCGTGAAATACATCTTGAAATCATGTGCACACGTGGGATGTTTTTTTCAATTTTTATTTTCATTTTCATTTTCATATCAATTGAACAATTTGTAACTCTTTTCATTTGTAATAATAAATCTATTAGGCATACAATATGCACCTTATATATCAAAATGGTGCATCGTCATATGCTATGTAATGCATCATTCACTATCTCTTCCCAAAATGTTAACGTTGTTGAACTAACTTATTCATTCAAACTCATATAACACTTAATCGCATCCAACACTTAGATGCTCATACACCACTTTAAAAATAATAAACCGACATTGATAAATGCTTTCAAACTTCATTGTCACAATCACATGGAGTGATGATCTATTGTACAAGCTTTTATATTGATGCTTCAACTCTTTAAAAGTTCTCTTCTTCGGTTGCTTCTTTCGTTAAGTTTCTATTTAACTGCACCTGCTTTGTTTATGAAATCTCTAGGAGGACTTTCAAAAGCATCATCGCTGTCACTCACAATTGTTTTCTTACCCTTCTGCCCTTCACCAGTACTCTGTGATTGCAAATATTTGTCTTCTTGTTCTTGTTCTTCATAAGCATCACTTGACTGTTCGTTGTCATTCACAATTGCATGTTTTAGCTTCTTATTTATGACTCTTTCTGCCGCATTGCTTCTTTGAGACCTCCTCTTCATGCTCAGTGCTTTTCTTGCACTATCTTCTGATCTTATCTATACAACAGCATTGTTAACACAACACCATTGCAATTCCACATACTAACAGTATTAAATTAAATCAAACTGCATAACACATAGAACTTCATGCCTTAGCTCCTCACTTCAGGTCTCTGCACTTCATCATGCTGCATATGCATCCGGCCTCAAACCTGTTTCACCACAGGCGCATCCGCTCCAAATTTAATGACACCATTTCAAATTAGATTTACAGAATATATATCAAATGCATCTTAAATGTAGAATAGTGCAAGTGTGTAACCTTTTAACTTTTTCATCATCTCTTTTTTCTCTTTGTTCTGTTGCATCTTACTAGTTGATGCACCTTCTTGTTTTCTTTTCCCTCCAAACATGTGTTGCTCTTCTGCACAAGGATGCATTGCGATTACATCTTACTTGCATCTTTTAAGCAATCTTTATGCATATACCATCCTCGCTAACACAAGTGCATATTTTGGCCGGGTGTGTATGCATCTGGTATCATACAATCATGCATCATGTACCTTACAAATGTACTTCATGTTCATGAAAGACCAGACACTTCAACATAAATAAAGTTCATTAAAACTTCCATCACAAAAACAACTAAAATTAATTCAAAAATATGCATCCATTACCTTTAACTACTGCATCTTATACCTAATAGTCATGCATCTACATTCCTCCGTAGTACAACTGCATCTTACAGTTACATTTGTTGCTCTTTTTCATTTTCCATACATAGATGTACATGTCAGAGTTTAGCTTTTCTCATCACATTAACAATTACTAAAAATTCAAACTACCATTTCTTTCCACCAATGCTTATTGCAACTACAACTGCTGCACCAAACTTCTTTCACGGAAACATGTAAAATATACATTCATGTTATAGTATGCACAAAATACAATATAGACTCACACACATTTATTAATGCTTTCATAAGAAATCTTTATGCATATACCATCCTCACTAACACGATGTATATTTTAGGTGTGAATGCATCTGGTGCCATACAATAATGCATCATGTAACTTACACATGTACTTCATGAAAGACCAGACACTTCAACATAAGTAAAGTTCATTAAAACTTCCATCACAAAACAACTAAAATTAATTCAAAAATATGCATCTATTAGAGTTAACTACTGCATCTTATACCTAATAGTCATGCATCTACTTTCCTTCATAGAACAACTGTATCTTACAGGTACACTTTTTGCATCAAGCATATTTCGAACTCCCATATCACCTTGACTTTGACTTTCAATCCAAATTTCATAGTTACAATTACTATTATGCATTACACTGCTGCAAGTTCTTCATTTTCATTGTGCTTTAAATGCATTTAAACAATAACTCTAATGCATCATCCATTACATAGGTGTTCAAACTGCAATTACCGGATAAATTCCCTCACACAGTTGGCTTTATTGCACCTAAATTATTTCGAATTATAATTGCAAATACAATAATACCAAATACTTTCTTTCATCTTTATAAACTCAAAAACATTCATCTGCACTCCAGAATCTCACCTAATTACAGTTCATTTGTCTGTTAACTGTATTTGATTGTCAAAATACAAATGCAATCTCTGTTTTTCAATGGTTGAATCACACTTGCATCCCTATTAATGGTTTTTGATCGGTATAGAATAACGAATGGATGAAACCGAGTACCTTCATCAATGCAAAAGATGTTCCATCTGCACCGACGGCGGTTCCGGGACAAATTGCATCGGGAAGGCAGTCAAATAATTTTTGGAAGTTAACTGCATTTTATATGTATATAAAGTGCGCAGTTAACTTCAAAAAATCATTTGACTGTCTTCCCGATGGTATTTTTAGCTGAAATTTGTTATGGTAAACTAGACTTGATCAATAACATGCTCAAAAAAATTCATCAAAAAATTCCACCGGGAAGGGGCCCAAACGCCGAGGTCCGTACGGAGGTCCGTTTTTGGAGGTCTTGACAGGAACACTACTATATATATATATATATATATATATATATATATATATAGAGAGAGAGAGAGAGAGAGTACTCTTCTGGACGGCGGCATTTGGCCGCCTTCCGGGTGGAATTTTTCGATGAAATTTTTATGACATGTTCTTCATCAAGTCTAGTTTATCCACAAAACATTTCAGCCAAAAACTCATTCGTGAAGGTCATCAAATGATTTTTGCAAGTTAACTGGTCCGGAAAATACATATTCCGGACCAGTTAACTTGCAAAAATCATTTAACGACCTTCCCGATTGAGTTTTTGGCTGAATTTTTTTATGGATAAATTAGACTTGATGGAAAACATGCCATAAAATTTTCATCAAAAAATGCCACCGGGAAGGCGGCCAAACGCTGCCGTCCGGAAGGCAGTTCCTATCCGGAATTCCGGACATGAACATTTGTGTATATATAGATATAGATATGTTTAAACCCTATGGTAAGCAACCAGAAAAGGTTGGGGTAGGAGTCGGGGAACGTCATTCTTATTTATTTAAATGAAAGGAATGTAGATGGGTAGGAGGATATAGACTTATAGAGCCAAAACCTAACCCATGTATCTTAGTAATGATTGGTTACCATAAATTAAATCAAATTTCCAAAGGGAAAACTGTCAAATAGGTTCTCGAACTTTCATAAAAAAGTCAATTAAGTCCTTCTATAGAAGACTCTGTCCGGTCATCGCGATTTGGGGCGGTTCCCGGTGGAATTTTTTGATGAAATTGTTTGAGCATCTTATTCATCAAGTCTAGTTTAGTCATACCAAATTTCAGCTAAAAATTTAATCGGGAGCATATTCAAATTAATTCGAGAACGCAAAAATGCGCAGTTATCTTCAAGAATTAATTTGAATGTGTTCCCGATTGAATTGTTAGCTGAAATTTGGTATGAGTAAACTAGACTTGGTGAATAAAATGCTCAAAAACTTTCATAAAAAAATTCCACCGGGAACTGCCCCAAATCGTGACGCCGAGACAGAACCTCCTATAGAAGGACTTAATTGACCTTTTTATGAAAGTTTGAGGACCTATTTGACAGTTTTCCCAATTTCTAAATGTTTTTGTCCCGAGTTTAAGGATTTGAGCTTGTTATTTCTCTTAATATTTATAAGAATTAATTTTTCATCTATAATCCCTAATTCCCTATAATGTTAAGATAAAGTACTCCATTTTCTCTTCAAAATTTAATCATCTTTGAGTGTGTTGGTAAATATTCACAAAGCAAACATTTTTGCTTAAATTCATTCCCAAAAGTGTAAAGTACTCACTATATAATTTTCATTAAAAAATTGGTAAAAGTAACTAGTCAACTGTCAAAGTTTACTATTCCGTATTACTGATCACGAGGTAGAAAAAGGCTTATCTCAACTTTAACCCGAGAAGAAAAAATATGGACCTGTTAAATGTGTAGGCATTACTCGCGGGCGCAAATTGAACACCCAATGGGCCGCGCTTGGCGGGCCCGTTAAAGCAAATAGTCAAGTCCCACATTGGCTAGGGATCATAAGATTGCACATAATCAAAGTGCAGATTCCAGAGACGATGAGGATTTACATTCATCCTCTTCCCGCCGCCGCCGCCGCCGCCACTGTCACAGAGGAATCAGTATTGAGAAATGCAAGATTTTGATCTTGTGGATGAATGAGGCTATTAGAGATACAGATTTCTAAGGGTGGTTGCCGGTCTCTGTGAGCCAATGATTTCTCATTAGCTAACAACCCTTTCAAATATTTAATACTCCGTACTTCGTATATAACTGTCTTCTTCATCTGCTTCTTCTTCCTCTTCCTCCTCATTGCATTTGCACTAGGATGGCTAGCCACCAGTCCACCACATTCACCGTTTCCTAGATGAAACTTCGAATTGCGTTTAAAAAAGTGGATTAGTTGTGTATGGGTCTGTGAGGAAGCATTTTTTGGATTTCATTGGGCATGGAGAAGATGGTACCTTTTGGGCAGGGCAATCCGGGATTCCGAGATGTTTCTGTTTTGACCCGGATTGCAGCCAGAAGGGTTGTCTTCTATGCTGTGCATCTTATAAACACATATCTGAGACTCATGCTGATTGAAAAGTTTGTCCAGCTGAAAGAATTCCCAAAGGGTAATATATACTTCGCTTTTTGTAGAAATGCTCTAATAATTTGATGCTGCAGAGGGTTGAGGTTTCTAAGGGTGGTTGCCCCTCTCTGCATGCTAATGATTTCATGTCGCCCTTGAAAATCAACAGCCCTTAAAGAGTAGTAGTAACAACAACAACAATAATAATAGTGTGCAGTATATGTTCTTATCAGGATATGTTAGTAGGCTGTGATGATGCTAAGATTTAATTGGAGCTTCATGGTGAGGAAATTTAACCCAAATCGTGGCAGGGCAAATCAATATGAAATTGAGATTTGCAGCCATGTCGGTGTATTTTCCTTGGACCCTGTCCTGTTCATATAAAAGAATCTGAGCCTACATCCTCACATAGACTATGACCTTATTACACTGTTGGGATTAGGGTTTGAGTCTGAGAGGATGCATTTTATTGATATCTCTGGAGGCTGCCCAGGGAATGATAGGTTTTTAAGGGTGGTTGCCCTTTCCCTGCATGCCAGAGATTTGAAGTTGCCCTTCGGTTCAATAACCCTTTTGAATTTAATACGGAGTAATATATGTTCTTTTTGAGCTGGTTCCTGATATACAGAGTACAATTTGTTGCTAATAATCTTATTTGCACACCTTAAAAATTCTTGGTAGGCCGATGATGGTATGATTTGCGTAGAACTAAATGGGTTAAGGAAATTAGACCTGTATCTTGGCGGGGCAATCCAGATAAAACTGTGTTTTGCAGCCATCCCCTTTTCCTTTTACCCCTTACATATAAAAGGAACTGAGCCTGTTCCCTTACAATAAATAAGAAACCATTGGTGTAAGGATTTGAGCACAAGGAAGTGCTGTGAATATTAACACTTCGTTTGGTTGAAGCAATGAAAATTGAAGATAAGCTTCTTGACTAATATGCTTGATTGTGAGGTGTTTAAATCTGGCACCCTCTTGGATGTCAACTGACCTGTCCGCATGTTGCTCATGTTGCTGGTGCTAGTCGGTTGGCATCTGCAGTGGTTGTGGTTTTCTAATATGCATCCCGAAGTTAGTGGAAAACCTGACCTTTTTAAGTAAATATAAGAATTAAACTCTTTGGATTTAAATTGAAAATGGGAGCACAAACTGAGAAGGATTTCAGGCTTCATAATGATGGAGGTTTTCATATTTATGCCATTGATTTCACCACTGTTCAAACTGAACAATCCCTCTGAGTTTTCCACAAGTACTAACATTTACTGGTATACTTTGGCTTGATGGCGGCTTGATGGGGTGGTTACTCTCATATTTATGCCAATAATTTCCCCACTGTTTGATGTAAACAACCCCCTTGAATTTTCCACAAGTACTTGTATTTATTGTTTTTCCTTGGCTTGTTTCACAAGCGTTATCCAGCTAGAATGGCCGAGTCTGCATACTTTTCTGAAAGTAAAAGTGTTTAGTAACGCAAGTTATTCTTTTTATTTAGATTATTCATCTAAGCATGACTGACTACCAAAAGGAGCCTCAATAGTTTGGAGTGGATATATAAATCCTTATATTCAAATATGTTTGGCACTTCGTGAGTGGCACTTGTTTTCATATCTTTCTAGGAAATTGTTTTTTTTGTTTGTTTAGTTGCCTACCTAAACCCTAGATTCACGAGGGCTATGATGATACATCTTTTAACAATGACTTTGCGGCTATATCATTAGCTATTGGCATGGCAACTCAGAAGGTGTGGGTGATGGAGGAAGAAGACAAGTTGTATCCTAGATACTACTTGTTTCAATTTCTTCCACCAGTTATCCCAAGGTAACTGTTGTTAGCAGCCTGGCTGTTTAGTGCATTGTCTTGATTAATTTGGCGAAAATCTGAGCCTCCCAATTTAAAAAAATGTATGTGCATGTTACCCTACAAATTGTGTTTAGTCAATAAAAAGTCATGGTAGCATTTATTCATATTTTGCAGCTGTGTTAATTTCTCAAGGTAATGTGACTTGACTGAATAGATTTTTGGGCTTATTAAAGGGAAAATTTGAGTTTGCACCTGTGTATTAGACTATGTATTCCATATGAAACCCCCCTGCCAGAAATGGATTATTTATCTCAGATCAGACATTGCACCCCCATGTAAGTGTGGCAGCCAGCTAGATGATGACACATTGACACATGAATGGTTCATACAGATTACAGAAGTTGCACAACACATGTGACATGTCAATAGACAATTGTGCCCACAAATCCACAATGAGTGTATGACACTTGGCAAATCCGGTTAAAAAATACCATTTTCGTCCAGAATATAGTTAGAATCTTGAGTCACAGACTCACAGCAGTTAATCCATTTTTGTATTTGCTGCTGTTCATTAGAACGTTTGTTAATACATCGTTTCTTTTTGCCATTTATTTGTGCATGTTGGTACTCTCTAAAACCCCCATTTGTCTTTGCTGCAGTATTACTTAAGATCCATTATGTCTACAACCCAACATCTTAAAGCCAAGAAGATAACATTAAATATTTGATGAAAGGGGAAACAGGAAATACCGATGTAGAGGCTATTTGACAACATTGTTTTTCGGTTTATTAGGTTTATCAACCAAATTTTTCAGCAAACAAGTAATTTTTGCTTTCGCACGCTGAATTGTGTTATAAACACGTTATTTTTTTTGCTTAAAAAAAGTAACGTTGGAGTTACTTTTCTAGTTGTATTGACTGAAGTTACTATAGATGATCATTTTAGCTATTTTTACATATAATTTTTTTTAATTTTTTTTAATAAAGTATATTTTAAAAATAAATTTTTCTTAAATCAGCAGAATCAGTCAATGCAACCATTTTAGTCATAATATCATAAATTTCAGCAGAATCATCCAAATCAGTCGATATTCAAGCTACCAAGCGGACTTGTAATTTTAGAAAATACTTTCGATGAAAATGTCACTTTTTGTTCTTATGACTTACGAGTCTTATGTCAATCTCATAAAAAGAAGATATCTTTTTTTGGAATAGACAAAACAATAAGTGATTTATTTATAAATTTTTTTTACAGTTTTTCACTCATATTGTAGAAAAATTAACCGAGTAAGACAAAGTGTGGACAGTTACAAAAAGTGTTTCATAATATATCTGTTGGGTTAATAGATTCGATAGTGGAATGGCCAATTATCCCTTAACAAGAAACTTTCAGACGTTCATCCAAGTTATATAGATGCTCGTTAGACCTGCACAAACGCGGGTTCGGGCCGGGCTCGGGCCGGGCTTATTCTAAAAAATCTGCCCATTTGTAGTGGGCGGGCCCGGCCCGGCCCGGTACAACGGGCCTCCTCATATGTCCAAGCCCGCCCAAAAGAGCGGGCCGGGCTGCCCGCCGGGCTTTCGGGCCCGGAAAAATTATCCCCTTTCTATTTTTTTTTTTAAAATCGTAAACGTTTGTAAAATACTTTTATGAAATACACACACGATTCTGAAAAATAAAAACCATTCAAATTTAGAACTAACATCAGTATTTAAAAATTTAATCACAATGTGCAAACAATAAATAAAAGTACAATCACAATGTGCAATGGGAATAGTCAAAGCATAAAAGTATCTTAAAAGACTTGATATGTGTCCAGTACAAAACAGTTCAAGTTTTAAGTAACACGGGGTACTACTTTATTGGTCCGATCTAATAGCAGTAGCTTAGCTAAGGTTTCATGTTGGCCTTCCTTAATGATAGTAATTTTTTGTGTATATATATAAAATATAATTTATATATATAATTATATGATATATATACACACATTTAACGGGCCGGGCTTTTAGGCCCGCCGGGCCTATATTAGAATCCAAGCCCGCCCATAATTTAAACGGGCTCGGGCCGGGCCGGGCCGGGCCGGTGGGCTAAACTATGTGTCCAAACCCGCCCATTTATATGGGCGGGCCGGGCGGGCTGGGCGGGCCGGGCCGGTTTTGTGCAGGTCTAATGCTCGTCCTCGAGGTCCTTGGCCCAGTAGAGCTAGTGCTGGACTCGGGCCGCTTCGGGCCCGGCTCGGGCCTCGGGCCAGGAAAGGGGAGGCCTGAGCCCGAACCGCAGGTGGCCGGTTCCGGTTCCGGTTCCGGGCCAAACCGGGCCGGGCCGGGCCGAGCCAAACCGGTGCATTTTTTTTTTTTTTGGGTTCTCCTATTTAATCCCCTACCCCTCCCCCTCAACCCCAAACCACCCCAAACCACCTCAAATGGCCCAAAATACCTATTCCAACCCAAGACTTAAAAAAAATTTCAAAAAAAAAAAAATTAAAATCCAGCCTGGACCGGGCCCGAACCGGCCGGGCCGGTTCACCATATGGAAGGCCCGGGCCCGGAACCGGGAACCACCGGGCCGGTTCGACCCGAACCGCCGGTGGACCGGGCCACCGGGCCGGGCCGGTTGCTACAGTGGCCAGGCCGGGCCGGTTCCGGGTCGGACCGCCCGGCCCGAGTCCAGGCCTAAGTAGAGCTAGATGGTGATCCATGGATTCCGTTAGGGATGCACAATGTAGGCCGCGTAGAGCCCTGCCCTTACACTTATCTGGATCTAGAACTCAAGGTCAAGGGGACGCTCGTCTAGACCCAATGACGGGAAACCAAGGTATTGGCGGGAAGTGCGTTTAATGCGGTAGATTTGGTGGTTGGAAAGCTAGCCTCCCACAACCTCCACATCATAAACATCATGTACCGCTTGGTAGTATATATAGTACTCCATCCGTCCCACTAACAATGGGACAAGAGGAAGTGACATACAAATTAATAAAAAGTGGTGTATGTGATTGATATTGAATTGATAAAGTAACAATAAAGTAAGAATGATTTAGAACCACACAAATTTTATCAAATTTGGTATGATACAATCTTAGTGGAACAGACTGAAAATGTAAAATGGAACAATCTTAGCGGGATGGAGGTAATAACATTTATTTCATGTAAAGGGTTGACAATGTATACTCCATAGCAATATCAATTATCCCCCATCTTCCTATCTCAGATGATGATCGGCTTAGCGGGCTAGTAGTGAAGTGTGTTGTGATAGACTCTTATTATTTTTGAATAAGACACGACCCACTTATTAAATATCTCTTCTTGCTTGCCATTTATTGCTTGTGCTTACTCATCACTCATAATTCACTAAATGCTCCACTCGAAACCCAAAGGAAGGTGTTGGACGATTGGTTCTTTGAAATTGAAGGAATAAATCTCAACGATATCTTTTAATTAAAGATTGTTATAGAAAACAAATGAAGAGTATAATTACACTTATCCTACACTCATGGGTGTCAACTCTTCATTTAATTAGAACTCCACCACATCTAATTGAATAAAAGATCAACCCATTTTATAGACAACAAATGAAGAGTATAATTACCCTTATCCCACACTAATGGGAGTGGACTCTTCATTTAATTAGAACTCTACCACATCTAATTGAATAGATCTTATCTGGGGTCATGTCGAAAACTTCAGCCATGTTTGAGAATGAATATCCTGCAAGCTTCCACTATTGTTTATATTTAGTACTCCGTAATATATAGCATGTTAAATTCTTACAAAATAGATTTACATTCAAGAGTTATGTATAATCGAAACTCGAAAGTGTCATACAAATTGAACTTTCATTGACATCAAACATTTACGATATTTCGAGTTTGAACAGTAGATCAACTATTTTTTATATACCACTCTGAAGTAATTAAGATATTTAGGATATTTTTTGTTGGAATTGTTTTGGTCCAATAACAAATCAGATAGAACTAAACATTGACAGTAAAAATCACATAAAACAAACATTTGTCAGAGCAGACTTGGCTTAAATCGATCAGTCATCAGACCATCCTTTACAAGAAAATCATGACCCACTTAAAGAACCTTAAAGAGAATCATGACAACAAAAGAAAGTTTTGATTTTCAACCATCCTTCGTGTACACGCAAATTGTATACGACATTTTACACGTCGGCCAAACAGTTTTTTTTACGTTTTGTGAAGAGAATCATTTTTCACACGGACAAAAAATTTGTCCATGACACAAACATATTGTCGGTGCAAAAAAGGGGTTTATAATTCCCTAAATATGAGTAATTATTTGTATTTGGATAAAAATAGCTATTCGTAATTCCTGCAACGATAGACGAAAGGTTCATTGGGTGCGATGAATATTGCTAGAGAGGAACGGATGGCTCTGCTACATGTCGGAGGTAAGTTTCTTCTTCTTCTTCATCTTTTTCTTCTGCTCCTATGTTGATTTCTTCTCAATCTCCCTTATTTTTCTTCTTCTACAACTCTTCTATTTTCTTCTTTTGGATTTCCAAATTTTTATTAATTCTGATTGATTTATTTAAAAGATCCATATTATTGTTCTCATCACTTCAATCTAAAAATGTCATAGTTGATGTTTAATCGAACACTGATTTGATAATGTCACTTTTAAGACATTACATTTGCCAAGGTGACAATTGCAAAGAAGAAATGACATTTTCAAAGAGACGAAGAGTAATAATGTCATACTCATGACATTCTAGAAACAAGAATGAAATATTTAAAATATGAAAAAAAAAAGAGGAGGAGGAGTGACTATCATGTTTTTGAGTAACAATGTCAGTTTCATGACAAAATGTCATCCTGATAAATGCAATGTCATAAAAGTCACATTTTTCTAATTACATGTAATTTATGACATTCTGAGGATCCAAATTAATCAAAGTTATTAAATAAATAAATAAAATTGAATATAAAGAAAAAGAAAACAGAGGACTCGAAATTGAAGAGGATGAGAAGGAGAAGAAGAAAAGAGAGAGAGAGAAAAGAGGCGCACAGAGGATAGCATGTGGAGAAATAGGTTGGGTTTAATAAGAGGAAGTGCAAAAGTGTATTCTAGAGTCCTATTTAGAGCTCGTTTGGTGACTACGTTTTTCGCCCTGTCAGGCTAACAACCAACTTTTTAGTCAAACATATACTCCGTAACTTTTTATTTCGCTCGTTGAGTTGTGTAATAATAAGAAAAAATAAGGTTGGAGTTACTTTTCTAACTGTATTGGTTGAAATTACTGTAGATGACCATTTTAGCTATTTTTTCATATATATTTTTCTAAATTTTGTTAATAAAATCTATTTTAAATATAATTTATTCATAAATGAGCAGAATCGGCCAATACAGTCACTTTAGGCAGAACTTCATAAATTGCAACAGAATCAGCCGATTCAACTAGCCAATTCTAGTGTTACCAAACGGCTCTTAGTGAATAAAAACTTGAAGTCCCTTGGAGAGAACATTATATAATGGGAGTGAACAACAACTTAAATCGTTTGAAGTTTAACACAAAGATAACAATATAATGATGACATTAATAAGGTGTACGGTATGTAAAACACGATGTACAATGCTAAACTT